CGTTGTTGATGGGGATCCAGTCTGAAGTGAACCCGTCAAATCGTAACTGAGTCTGTCATTGAGTTAGTAAGCGTTCCGTGAATTCAACTACTTCTCTTGGTATGCGTCGCATACGCATATTGTGGATTAGTCTACTGGTGACCGCGTTGGGAAACGCTCCCTCGATATCTAGGAATAGGGCAGATACTACCTTATGCGATCTCCAGGTGTTTTTGACCAGTTTCTTCGAGTAGATGTAGAGAGTCCAGTTGTTGAGCGTCCCTGGTCTGCCGCCGAAATGGGTGTGCGGGAGTAGATGGTGACGTTCCAGCGTGAAGGTTAGACGCTCAGCTACTACTGCGGTGAGAAGTTTCCCTAAGGTATTCAGTAAGGCGATAGGGCGAAACGCTTTGGGGATTGAATAATTGGGTTTTCCCGGCTTCCGGAGTACTACTGTGGTGAAGCGCTTCCACGGTTCGTAGAACGTTCGGTACGTGAAGGCCGCGTTGAAGAGGTGTGTTAGGTATGGTGCTAGAGTGTTAGTACAACGTTTATATACTATGTTACATATATTGTCCGGTCCGGGTGCCTTGTAACCATTTAACTTGCTGATGGCGCGAGTGACTTCATGTTGGGAGAACGGGATGTGTGGAGATACCGGGTCAGGGTAGATAACGTCTGGGGGGATCAAATTGTCAACTGGGGGTGGCAGGAAAGAATGACTCAGCTAGTACGGTGCTCTTTTCCTGGTTGGTGGAAGCTTCGAGGGGGGTGCCGTCAGGTCTTCGTGTGGTGAGGGTAGGGATCCTGGTTTTCCCGCCGTCGGAGGATTCTGAGGAAACATATTTGTTAGCGGTCCATATATCATTACCTTCTATATTTTCCAGCCACTCAATCCAGTGTTGGCGTTTGGTGGTTTCGATCTGTTCGGCGTATCGGTTCTTAAGTGTCTTGAGCGACGCGTGACATTCGTGATCCGGCAGTCCTCGCAGACGGTACGCTAGCCGGCTGGCATCCGTCACTTGACGGCGAAGTTTGGAGAGGTCTTTCGTCCACCAACGTTTGGAGTGTGGACATGGTTTGGAGATGGGGACCTTGGCATCCATGGCATCCGTGATGGCATTGGTGAGTCTGCGTGCTGCTTGCTGAAATTCTTCCTCAGACGCGAGAGGTGCCGGGGGAATTGTTTGAGTGAGTCTCGTAGGTGTTTGTCGAATTTCTCCCAATCAACTTCCCTCCAATTCCTTCTGGGTTCGGCATCGGTCCTTGGCGTGTTCAGTTCTAGGGTGAGGAGGATGGGTACGTGGTCCGTGCGAGGGCCTCGTTGCCCTGGGTCCGTGTCACAGGATACCACTGTTTCCACAATTAGCTCCGTGCCCAGTACGTTATCTGGTCTAGTCCAGTTGCCGGAGTTTGAGGCTTGGAGGGTAGGTATGCCACAGGGAAGCAGTTGGACCATGCCGTAGTTGGCGATTAAGTCGATGAGTGGGCTGGCCGCGGCGTAATTGAACAGGTGACAGTTACGTGTTTCCTCCCATAACGGATGGTGTCGGTTAAAATCTCCCATCCATAACATGTTGTCGTTCTCGGTAGGTCGGATTGTCGCGATGTTGGTTTCTAGAAAGGAGTCCAGAGCCGTTAGTGTGTCTTGGTTATTACAATCATTATATACGTTGAAGATGGTACAGAGACCGTTTTGGCTTGAGAGTTGAAGGATGACAACGTCCGATGAGGGAAAGGGTATCTGTTTCCATGTGTTAGTATTGATTGATGTATTTACAAGCGTTACCGCGCGAGAACGCTGTTGGGGATTAGTGCGATGTTTAGATGGGTATAGGACGTGCCAACGGTGGTTGGCGTTCGTGTTATGAAGGAAGTTTATATATGGTTCTTGGATTAGTATTAAGTCCCAGTCTTTGGTGGTAGCTGAGTTGTTGAGAAGCGAAGCTTGAGCGACCATTGACGTGTTGAGATTTTGTTGCCAAATACGTAGTCTATCGTTCTGGAGGTTGGTGTGTTCAGGCATGAGGTGGGGAGCTAGGGGGGATGCTATCAGTAGAGTCGCGAGTAGGAGGATAGAAAGGGGAGGCGGAGGCAATTAGTTTATGGATTTCATTATCTTGGGGGCGTTGAGGTGAACTTTCGCGGGGAGTTGAGCGAGAGAATGGGATGGTGGTTTGATAGTATTGGCTTGGGACAGGCTCCTGAGAGTGGCGTATAGACGGCGAGGGTGGAGTAGGCGTTTTTGAGGGACGAGGGGGATGCGCTACGTGGGTCCATGCATGTTCTGATGGGAAGTAAGGCATGCGATTTTCCGGAAACCTCTCATCTATTTCTTTGCGGCATTTGACAAATTCGGGGCAAGATCTGCTCCAGCTGGCATGGCTTTGGTTGCGACAATTAACACAGCGATTAGTTCGGTATGCGTTGCAGTTGGCTGTGCGGTGTTGTTCTCCGCATGTACCGCATACATCCTGGGGGGAGGAGCAGTTCTTAGCTATGTGATTGAATTTTTGGCACTTAGCGCAGCGAAGTGGTTCTTTCTTGTCTTTCCGCACGTTAATCCTTTCACTTTCGACACATAATCCCTCCCGAATGATGTTGTTGGCGACGTGGATGTTCGATACTAGTAGGAGCGCAAATGCTTTACGTTGGCCTGCGGAACGTTTCTGCGGGGGTTTTATCCAACGAATTGAGGTGAGAGTTGCGTCTGGAAGATAGTTCTCTTGTTCGATGTCCCTGAGAAAACCGTCTCTGTCGATCTGCGTGATGGTAGGTAAGTATTCTAGGACTAGGGTGTAAAGATGTTGGCGGAACAATACTGAGGTGTCTAGTTGGCTTTCTATCGCAGCTTTACCATTGGGGGAATTGAACCAGGAGGCTAGTGTTTCGTTTTCTAGTTCTACTATGATGCCCCCATTGCGTAATGTGGAGACTGAGCGAATAGTGCCTGGCGGGGTTGAGTCGTTTCGTACTGCTGTGAGGGCATTCTTGAGTTTGTTGGCGATGTCCTGGTTGGATGTATTCTGCGGGAATAACTGTTCGCCTGGCCTTGGGTCCAGCAGGACTTGTCGAGCTCGAATTGCCGCTCTGCTGATGGCTTGGTCTACCATTGGCGGAAGTTGTGCCGCTACCACCGAGCTGTAGGTGGGACGTGGAGCTTGCTGAGTCTCAGGTGGGTTTTTCGATATCTGTGAATGAAGTAGGTCAATTTTCTCCTGCGTAGCGTCTAATGAGGGGGTTAGTATTTGTAAAGCTTTCTGATACGTCTCTACTGAGTCGTATAGTGCATCCGCTGCTTCCTCGATCCGGTCTGCTGCCGTCTTGACGTTGTCTTCTTTTTCAGCTCTTTCTCTGCCGATGGAGGTGTGTAGTCTTGTCGAGTCTTCGATGGTGGCATTGAGGGTTTGTGAGGCGTCGTGGATGAGTGCTACTTGGGGAGATATTGCCGCTACCACGTGGTCTACTAATTTGGCTGTGAGGTTGTCAGTGATTTGTTTTGCGGCCAGTTCAGCGATTTCGCTTGCAGCGTGCTCTTTCATTATGAATGCTACAGCACGTATAGCCGAGGTGACGTGAACCGGCGTAGTGCTGGACATCTGGGTGACTTGGAAGAGAGCCGAGATTAGGTGGGGTAACGTAAACGGTTCTCCCACATGGCAGAGTAGTTTCGACTCCAGGAATGCTTTGCCAGTTGTCGAGTCCTTAACCTTGTTTGGCAATGCTTCTATATTTTCCTGGGAGGTATTAGTCCTAGTCGTTCTACGGGTGTTTAGGCCATATGTCGGAGAGGTTGTGCGGGATGATGTCGTAGAGTTGGCGCCGACACTGACACTTCTGCGAGGGCCAGTCATGGGTGATGATATCTAAAGTTAGTAGTATTTGGAATAAGAACTAAAATGAAAATGATCCGCTCGGAACGGAAGAGCGCCTGTTGGCGCTGTTGGCGCTGTTGAGCGCGGTGTTGACAAAGTTTTTTCGGGGTCCTTGTCGGGGTGCCACTTGGTTCGGGTCCAAGAGGCGATCTTGACTTTATCTGCATGTACGTGGACTGCAATCCATCCAAACATTCCGGGGATCGACGAGGGCAGATGGCGTGGCTGGTAGTACGTGCGTGCGGTGGGATTCGGAACGACAGCGATGGATAGCAAAGCAAAAGCAAAGTACGAATGAGCGCGTCCGGAAACGAGAACAATGGTTCTTTCTCGCCGATCCATGTAGTGATGACGTTCCTGATGGAAACGGCGGCCCAGCGCTTGTAATGGATTTAAGGTCCAGGCTCGTCATCTGACCCAGGGATCTGTGCTGCCTTGTATTTGCTCTCGTGCTTGGCTGGCATCAGATGACATAGACCTACCGTGCTCAAACGATTTCTCATGCTGAACTCAGCAGCCGGCCAGGGCTGGATTGTACATATCGGTCTCTGGAAATTATGAAGTCTGAGTAGGTGAATTACAGCGGCGTTATCTGCTGTGCAGATTAATACGTCCTGAAACCTGCGCAGGGAACACCGAGCAAGACGGTGAAAGGCAATTGGGAAAAAATAGTAGGACATCGAGAGTACCTCTTAGTTGATCGTCGATGGTTGTGTGAACGAGCTCAGCACGCAATCAGCGTTCAAAAAACATCGACGAATCAACGGAACATGGTACGACAACTCAACTTGCCAAGTAGATCTGAGAAGGGTGCCCTGGAAACGAGCATGCCTTAGTATACCTCAGATAAATAGAAATATATACGAAGTAAACGATTGTGACCTATACTTCAAGTTGCCTGTAAAAGTGCAATTATAATGAGCAATACAGACGCCAGCTACGCCCCACTACGCGAACCATGGCTTTGGATCAATGCACGACCGTCGGTCATCTCTGAACAGGGCGCAGGGATAGTGGTCAAGCGACGCACTCAAGTCGTCGGAGGTTGTTGGGGATGCAGGTAAAAAGAGAGCTAACGGTGCATCTCTGTTAGTGCTTCAGAGGGACAATATTTTTGGAGAACAGTACACAACACACATGTTGCTTGTATTGAGAGCAAAAATGACCGAGAGGTTCAACTAATTTAGGTACAGCACGCCCAGCACCCGTCGTCCACAAGGTAAGGCGATGTCCCTGGCCATTGCTTGCAGTCCAAATCTGTTGAAGAGGATTCGCATTGGCCGTTGCAGGTTATACTCTGAGGGGCGATGGCTCTGTTTACCCCAGTGACACTGGCAGCGACACTGGAAGCGGCAAGGATTGTGAAGTAAACAATTTGAACGAGCTTCATGGTATCTGGTATAATTATGCATCAGCCTATGATGCGAATGTGTGAGCAAACCACATACTGACAAAAGTCTGACTGTGCAATGTATGTGACGACGACGTTGCTATGAAAGAGTCTTAGAAGAGCTATTGCATGTCAGATCAATAAATGTGCATAGTGTGGCGCAAGAGGGCTACTCACTGCAACAGGAGGCGTTCGTCTCTGAGAGTCTGAGGCCTTTTCAGCCCAACTACGTTGGTTTTATACTTGTTCTCGTGAGCAATGAAATTGACTTGGAAAAAAATTATACCGAAAAGATATGCAGCTTTGTTGAGAAATCCATCTCCTTGGAAATACACATGCAAGCCTGAGACGTGTCAAGTTGCTGATAGCCAAATCCAAGTTGAAACAAGCCAGCGGATTGTAGTTACTGGTGATCCAGCAGGAAGGATTGCCAGCAAATTAGTATTTGCATAAGATGAAATATTGACCACTGTTGAGTGCTGAGCGTTCTTAGAGCCTCAACATGGCCATTTCTGACTCTGAGTGGAGTTGTCCGAGTCAGCCACGTGCATGAATCAGAAGGCACAGCGGGATAAACGATAAACGATGTAATATTGGCTGACTACGTTACTGATGTAACGTCCGAGTCATGCCAAATTACATAACGTGGACACTGGACGCGGTCGGAGTCCAAAACAACGGGTTGTTGATACGTCTGCGTCAGCGCACACATTCGAATGACACCGAACACGCACTTCTCTGCTCTTCGTTCGTCGTCGTCGAATCACGATCGTCGTTGGCGGTTGCTTGGAGGCCCAGCGTTTTTCGGGGTACTTGTTTGGTTGTGAGTGGGCAGAACTCACGTGACTTACCTCCCAGAGCGATGTAAAGGTTGCTTTCTTTTCCTTCAGGCTTGTGCGTATGATGATTCGGCTCATTTCTCGATACGCAAGTCCTACCACAAGAAATATGGGCCAAAGACAGAACTGCTGATACAGGATGACAATCGATCAAGAGCGAGGGGAGTATAAAGGCGTTAAGAGATGCATGTGCTCCCTATCGGTGAATAACACACAGAATCTGAAATTCAGCGCGAAGGCCTTGTGGTATGCCTAGTAGAGGCCTCGTGTTCCAACAAACGTGCAAGTGGGATCTAGAAAGATGCATCATGAGAGAGCGAAGTAACTCGGACTCGGAGGTCAATGGAAGTCTACGCTCTGAAAATTCTGTTATCTAAGAATTGGGTCTATACTCACGCTCTGGAAGGGACCATTTCCTGTCTCAAGTTAAAGTCCAAGATCTGTTTCGTGTTCACCCATGACTATAAACAAGGAACTCGGGAAGAGTGCACCATGGCGGACGATGGCGAAAACGCGCGTGATATATTAGCACAAAGTTCGTGATTCTCTAGTGGGGATCAGTGTCACGAAACATAATTAAACGGTACACCCATGTGCTCAAAGGCCCCACCACCAGACCTGCCAGAAAATAGCATTCGAGACTCGGAGCAGGGCGACAGTACAACCCACACAAGAGATGTTTGTCTCTGGACTGTGTCAAGGTGCACGAAAATGATGCAAAAATTTCGACAACAGGGAGGGAGGGGGAACATACATGCGCAGCGGGATCCGACTAATTTGAACGGCCATCGCAATTGTGTTGCGAGTAACCCAAGGCGACGCCAAAGCACAGATTCCAGAATGAAAGCCTATGCTTGAAGATCATCGTCCAAGAGCGAGGTGAACATGCAAACCTAAGTAAAAGATCTCCAGCATTTCACTGGTGTCACCTCTAGGAACAGTCCGAATTACCTGGACAGGATAAACAACAATCGGTAAAATGCTAATCAGGGAGACAATCCAACTTGAAAGACATCTCGCATGCAGCAAACTGTGTAAGGAGATTCATATGGCATTCCAGCATGCGAAAGCGCCGACCTTGACAGTAGGAAACCAGCGGGAGAAGAGAACCAATTGCCACTTTTTCGGGCGTTGCCGATAACTTCTTATCTAAGTTATACCACCATGAGAAATATACGCGGCGATTTAGTGGACACATGGATTCCCTGACTTGGACGATAAGCACAGTTACAGCTTTTACGACTCACACGTAGCCGCACCCTTCAAAAGAGAGCACGATGATTCTCCCACCATGCGCTGTCCTATTTGACACGCTGTTTCCTTATGCTTCACTCCCAAGTCTCGGCGATGCATATACCCATACAACCGATGCCAACGACTTTCTATCCAGCAGTAGCCTACTGACACTAGTAGTATGGCTAGAACCTATTCTCTTGAGCTGTGGCTTGACTTTATCTGCATGTACTTACGTGGACTGCAATCCATCCAAGTATTCCGGGCATGGATGAGGGCAGATGACGTGGCTGGTACGTGCGTGCGGTGAGATTCGGAACGAGAGCGACGGGTAGCAAAGCAAAAGCAAAGTACAAACGAGCGCTTCCAGAGGCGAGAGCGATGGTTCTTTCTCGCCGATATGTGTAGTGATGACGTTCCTGATGCGAAACGGCGGCCTGGCGCTTGTAATGGGTTTAAGGTCCAGGCTCGTCATCTGACCCAGAGATCTGTGCTGCCTTGGATTTGCTCTCGTGCTTGGTTGGCATCAGATGACATAGACCTACCGTGCTTAAACGCTGAACTCAGCAGCTGGCCAGGGCTGGATTGTACATATCGGTCTTTGGAAATTTATAGTCTTGAGTAGGTGATTAATTGTAGCGGCGCTGTCTGCTGTGCAGATCAATACATCCTGGGACCTATGCAGCGAGGGAAAAAGTAGAAACACCAAGCAAACAGTAGAGCGAAAGTCAAGTGGGAGAATAACGAGCTCAGCATGCAATCAGCATTCAAACAGATATATTTATGAATCAGTGGAGCATGAACTCAACTTGCCAAGTAGATCCTAGGGGAGGGAGGTCAAAGATGCCCGACGCCCTGGAAAACGAGTATACCTTGAATAAATAGAATTAGATACGGGGTAAATCATTCTTAAGTTGCTTGTGCGAGTACAATTATGAATGATACCGACGCCAGGTACGCGAACCGTGACTCCGTCAGCCACCTCTGAGCAGAGCGCAGAGATAGTGGCCAAGCGACCATTCAATTCATCAAGGACGCGGGTCAGGGAGCTTGCTGTCCATCTCTGTTTGTGCTTCACCGAGGAATCTTGTCTGTTAAGTATTCAATATTTTTGAAAAAGGGTACATGATATACATGTTAGATGTATCGAGAGCAAAAATGACAGAGAGATTCAACCTATTTTGCCACAGCACTGCCAGCACCCATCCTGCGTAAATAAAGGCGATGTCCCTAACATGCAGTCCAAAGATTCTTTCGAGGAAACGCATGGGAATGCGCAGGTAATTTGAGGAGGCAATGCTGCCATCGCCCTAGTGGCACTGGCAGCAGCACTGGAAGCAGTAAGGAATATGATGTAAATGACTTGAAAGAGCTTCATGGTTATCATTGATATCTGGTATAATTATGCATCAGCCTATGGTGTGACCTTGTGAGGAAACTACACCGACAAAAGACTGTTTGTACAATGTGCGGGAAGTTGCTATGAAAAAGTCTTAGAAGAGCTATTACATGTCGGTTTAATGAAATGCGTATAGTGTGACGTAAAAGGGCTACTCACCGCAACAGGAGGCGTTCGTCTCTGAGGCCTTTTCAATTCAACCGCGTTGATTTTATACTTGTTCTCGTTCGCGCTGAAACTATACTCGGAGAAAGTTTTATACCGATAAGACATGTAGAGATCTATTTATGAGATCCATCTCCGCACGCTACCTGGAGTGCACCAAGTTAGTTATATAGTCAAATACAAATTGAACCGAGCCAGCACAACAAGAAGGATGATGAGAAAATAACAGTATTTGCATAAGAACATATATTGGCCACTGCTGAACAGTTTTTGGAGGCTCCATGGAGACGCTGATCAAGCAACAATTTTAAGTTGGCAGACAGGTTGTCAGCCACGCGAGTCGGAAGAGAATTTGACGCACATACACATAACACAGAGCGTGTGTATCCGAGTAGTTCTAGTATTGGCTTATCCAGTTGCCTGTAAAAGTGCGATTATAATGAACGATACCGACGCCAGCTACGCTCCACTAAGTGAACCATAGGCTTCGGATCAATGCACGACCGTCGGCCAATAGTGATCAAGCAATGCACTCAAGTCGTCGGAGGTTATTGGGGATGTAGGTCAAAAGAGAGCTAACGGTGCATCTCTGTTTGTGCTTCACAGAGGGATCTTATCGATGTTGAATATTTTTGGAGAACGGTACACAACACACATATTGCTTGTATTGAGAGCAAAAATGACCGAGAGGTTCAACTAATTTAGGTGACAGCACGCCCAGCATCCGTCGTCCACAAGGTAAGGCGATGTCCCTGCCCATTGCTTGCAGTCCATGTTTGTCGAAGAGGAAGCGCAATGGCCGCTGCAGGTTATACTCTGAGGGGTCGTGGCTCTGTTTACCCCAGTGACACTGGCAGCGACTACTGGAAGCGGCAAGGATTGTGAGGTAAACGATTTGAACGAGCTTCATGGTATCTGGTATGACTATGCATCAGCCTATGATGCGAACGTGTGAGCAAACCACATACTGACAAAAGTCTGACTGTGCAATGTGCGTGACGTTGCTATAAGAGTCTTAGAAGAGCTATTGCATGTCAGATCAATAAAACGTGCATAGTGTGGCGCAAGAGGGCTACTCACTGCAACAAGAGGCGTTCGTTTCTGAGCCCATTTGAACCCAACCGCGTTGGTTTTATACTTGTTCTCGTGAGCAGTGAAGCTATACTCGGAGAAAAAAATACCGAGAAGATATGCAGCTCTGTTAATTAAACCCATCTCCTTGGTAATACGCATGCAAGCCTGAGACGGGCCAAGTTGCTGATAGCCAAATCCAAGTTGAACCGAGCCAGCGAGTTGTAGTGATCCAGCAGCAAGAATTGTCAGGACTCAGCAAATTAGTATTTGCAATAAGATGAAATATTGACCACTGTTGAGTTGAGCGTTCTTAGAGCCTCAACATGGCCATTTGTGAGTGGAGGGGTAAGGATGCTGGTCAAGTAACACGTCAGAACTCGTCCGAGTCAGCCGGATGGCTATTTTGCCGGTGTATGACGTGACAAATTACATAACGTGGACGGGGTCGGAGTCCAAAATAGCGTGTATCCAGATTCCAGAAGCTTGAAGTACGTACTATTTTGCTTTCTTTTCCTTCAGGCTTGTGTCAAATTGTGTGTAAGAGATTGAGCTGAATGACTCGGCTCATTTCTCGATATACACGTCTTACCACAAGAAATATGGGCTAAGGCTCTGACCAACTTCATTTACCACGGTGATCGGCCTACTGTATAATCCAGATTCATCTTCCTGCTAACATCGTCACTTGTCTATAATCCCCACCTGTATACTGCCCCACCCACCCACAGACCTATGCGGGTTGGCTGGTGCTTTCCAAGTAGTAGTGTCGAATATGATTCGATCACTGGGAAGATCCAACCCATCGAGCCTGTTCAACGTCTCCTTACAACACTTGCCTCCATTGACACGAGTCAAAATTTTCAGGCTTGAGTTCCCATCCCAACTCTATATTTCTGCGATTCCATCTTAATTATTATCCTGCAGTATGGAGATCCCGTACTCATCCCAGGCATTACTTGCCTGAAGTACCGAGGGCCAACCTCAGGTATTATTGAGGAGCTTACTTATCACCTTCGGCCTGCTGTATTCCACAATAATCCGTATACACGCTTTGCTCTGTCCTATATGGATTATCGTGTTAACCAGCGCCTTGGTACCTTCAGTCGATATTGTCGAAAAAAAACTCCCGCACCTCATTTCATCCGCCGTGTCTGGATCTGAATTATCGACTGCCATCGGACATGCAAACCGCATCAATATGTCCACTCAGACAGTATTGAACAACTCAACTTTACAATTTTGATATCGATACCGTGACCATATACGTACCTCGTCACGCGTGCAGCGTCAAACGTTGTTCCAGAACAATCTCGTTGAGCCACGTCTTCGACTTCTATTGTCACCAGCTTTACTCCACGCTCATGGGCGGGTAGGTAGTCGACGGACAACGCCTTCCCAGCTAGGGTGCTCAGTGAACTAGTGACAAATTCGCCATTCGCCAATGATACAATGGCGGTGTCTTAACTTTCTGTCATAACGACAGGACAAAAATGCCTAAAGACAATGTTCTGTGCAGGTACCGTGAAGTTTACAGCTTCAGAGAGCCCGTGCTACGACACTCATAGCTTCCATCATGTCCTTGACTCGTACTCAATCTTTTTGGAAAACGGTATATGACGTACATTTTGCTTGTATTGAGAGAACTCTGATTTGAGAGTAAAAATGACCCAGTTCGACTAACTTTTTGCTTAGATACAACTCAGCTAGCACGTAGGGACCCAAATGATAAGGCACCGTTCCTGTCGAGCAGTTCAAAAGTCATTTTCAATTGAGCTGCGAGCAGCACTGCCAGCACGTAGGGCCTATCTGGTAAGGCACCCCTGACCCTGACTGGCACGAAGGCGGTTGAGTGGAGCAAGCGTTTATGCAGGATAGAGATGATTGAGAAAAAGGTGCTGTCATCACCGTACTGGCACTATTAGCTGTGACACCGGAAGCTGCAAGGAGTACGAGGTAAGCGATCTGGACGAGCTTCATGGTATCTAGTATAACTATGCTTTAGTCTGCGATGCAACCGACGAACCTAGGGAAACCACACACCGACAGAAATTTTGATTGTGCGTTGTGCGCGGCGTTGCTGTGACAAAATCTTGGAAGAGCTATTATATGTTGCTCAACGAAATATGCATTAATGTGGCGTAGAGTGCGACTCACTGCAGCAGGAGGTGTTCGTCTCTGAGGCCTTTTAAACTCAACCGCGTTGATTTTATACTTGTTCTCGTTAGTGCTGGGACTATACTCGGAGAAAGTTTCAAGCCAAAATATGCAAGCTGATGCACACTCCGATAATAAAATCCATCTCCTTGGTAATCCGCACGCAGTAACGCAAGAAGCACCGAGTTGGTAAAAGTCAGATGCAAGTGAAATTGAGCCAGCGGGTTACAGTAATATGTTGCAGTGATCGCGGGAAGGATAATTTTTGGCAAATTAACGGTCGACCATTTTATTTTATTTCTGAAGTACAGCGGTGTGCGCTGAGATTAGAATATGCCGAGGCGGCACATTGAATGATGCACTCGAAGGGCTCGATGTCCAATGCCAACAGTCATGGATGATGGATTCCTGTGGAGATTCCCCACCAAAAACACATATCCGGGAGTGCCGGATGTGTTCGAGCAAGTGCCCATGCTTCATGAACAAGCGCGGCCTCCTCCAAACACAGATTATAATGCGCTACACACCCCTTCCTTCAATCAGTATAATGGGACCCTCATCTAGCATGCGGACACTCACCACACCAGCTCGCCAATCTCATTTCTATACTGATCCGACCTCAGGTCTCCGTCGGTCCTCTCGAAAAACACGGCCGCTGCATGGTTATACTACTGTTCTGCTTAATGGGCTGGCATCCGAGACATCGTAGACGTGCCATGACGTATGATACATTGATGAGGTACTGGAGACAAGTATTAGCATCCCCGCGCTCGCATTGTCGAAATGAGCGCCGAACAACATACCTGCAGTCCAATATATCATTTTACTTTTTGTTCCCCACAGCAATATACACTCGTTCGCTAAAAACAAATGAAGAAAAAAATGGAACTGACTCCGGACAGAAGCTCGAGCGCGTTCCAATTAAGATATTCGACACTGCCACTTGGCAGCAGATCGCCATCCTTAATTACACCCACCTTGTCTCCGCTATCTCCTTGTCTCGGAACAACCGCCTTCTTGCATTAAGTGCATCATATTGGGGTAAAACAGTGCGTCTATGGAATCTCGATACCAAACTCTCAGTCGAACCACCCCTCCACCACCAAAATCATTTGCGCTCTGCAGCAATTTCCCCTGATGGAAAGTCGCTAGTCGTTGCTTGCGACAATAAAAATGCGTACACATGGAACGTTCATGCCGTCCTCAAAGAAGCTGGCCTTGAAGACTTACTTCTCATGGGTACAAATATTGTGAGTGGCAAAAAATCATCTGCTCTCTCTCACACTAACAATGTATGCTGTTGGGCACCAAAAGACAGACTAGAAGACAACACATCTCAATACGGTTCAGAAATTCAGCACACACCTCGCTCTTCGCTCGATGGCAAGTCGTTTTCGAAAGTACGTACCGTGTTTCGCATCCTTCTCATCCATTGTAACAGTAACATTCCAGGCTGATGCTACGCATTGTCCTGACCAGTTTGGCGATGTCGATGAGTTTTCATCAGCATTTTTTGCCAGCATGAAAGTTGATATTGGTGTGCGTGATCAGTATTTCAATGGTTTAGTTCTCATCAAGACATATGTGCTCTCAGTCCTCCCCAGTGGGTGGTGCACACCCCCATTCCTCTGTAAATGCACTTTTCGCTCGCCTTTCCTCGCTCCTCCACCGCTTTCGACCCCAAAATGATGCACCAGACGGACTCCAGCAACCCTCCACACCTTTACGGTTGAATCCGCATGCGCTCCTAGCTCGCCTTTCCTCACTTTTACCTCAATCTCGACTCAGCACTAACGAAGAAGCCGAACCTCATCCCACAACGCCTTTCAGTCCGCGTCCAGATGCATTCATCAGCCAGCTGTCCTCATTCTTCCACTCTCAATGGCAACCCCGCACTAACGAGATGGTCGAACTCCCGCAACACACAAGCAGTCCTCGTGTTGTCGAAGTGGCTGCGGTACGGGACAAGCAGGTATGCCTCTCCTGAGTGCCTTTATCACCGCTGTGGTTTAATGATGTCTGTTCAGTCTTTGGTTGTCGCTCGGGGGCCAAATTTCATGAAAGCAAAACGAGCATATGAGCAAACCCAATCGCATGGCCAAGCCCAGGCGTCGTCATCGCACAATCAGCCTGCCGATGCCTCAATATTTGTGACACCTCCTACTCCAGATGCTAGCCATGCCACAGCAGGTACAGCAGCTGCACACTCACTACTCAGCCAATGGGTCCGGGTTGTGCTGTTTCTCTGCTGTGTAACCCCGTCACATGCCAGTGGTCATGAATACAACGAGCGTTGCAGCATATGCGCAACTAATTCATCTTCGCTTCTGGCGATTCTGCACTTATATCTTTTATTTTATGCCTTTCAGGATATCATCAATCTTGTTCCCTCGTAGTAAGACTCGTGTAATGCATCAAGCTCGATTATGTTAATTGTAACGAGCGAAGGATAGTGTGTTTCTTACTTTCCTTAGTCTGTTTTGTTTTCATTCTTTTTCACATAAAAACTTGAATTAAACAAGAGTCTGCTACAACGACCCCAGTCATCGGACAACGGCATTACGATTGTGAAACAAAATGTCCGTAATCAAGCTTCAAGGGCTGTTAAACGCTATCTCACAAGTCTAGCCCGACGATCCGGCAGTAACAACGGTTACAAAAATTGAGGCCTCGTCTTTCGAAGAGTGTCAATTTTTGTGTAACTGTAAACTAGCCACTTTCTGCTTCTTTATGCGCCATCTCTCTTGACCAACTTACCCGCAGGCGGCTAGTCTTTTCACGCTTGAGCTCATTGTGTATCCCATACTAGCATGAGGAATATTCGTGGCAATTTAGTGGAGTTGCTGACTTGGATGATAAGTGTTGAGTTACAGCTTTTACGACTCGACGATTACGTTGAATGATACCGACGCCAGCTACGTGGACCATGGTTTTGAATCAAAGCACAGCCGTCGGCCATCTCTGAGCAGAGCAGAGGGACAGTGGTCAAGCGATGCACTCAAGTCTTCGGAGGTTGTTGGGGATGTGGGTCAAAAGAGAGCTAGCGGTGCATCTCTGTTTGCGCTTCACAGAGGGATCTTATCGATGTTAAGTACTCAATATTTTTGGAGAACGGTACATGACACATGTTGCTTGTATTGAGAGCAAAAATGACCGACAGGGTCAACTAAGTTAGGTACAGCACGACCAGCACCCGGGGCCCACAAGGTAAGGCAATGTCCCTACATATTGCTCGCACCCCAAAGATTCTGAAGAGGAGGCGCACGGGCCGTCGCAGGTTATACTCTGAGGGGCTCTTGCTCTACTTACCCCAGTGACAACAGCAGCGACACTGGAAGCGGCAAGGATTGTGAGGTAAACGATTTGAACGAGCTTCATGGTATCTGGTATGACTATGCGTCAGCCCATGATGCGAACGTGTGAGCAAACCACATACTAACAAAGTCTGACTGTAATGTGCGTGACGTTGCTATGAAAAAGTCGTAGAAGAGCTAAAACATATCGGTTCAATAAAGTGTGCATAGTGTGGCGCAAGAGGGCTACTCACTACAACAGGAGCGTTCGTCTCTGAGGCCTTTCCAACCCAACCACGTTGATTTTATACTTGTTCTCGTGAGCAATAAAACTGTACTCGGAAAAAAAATTACCAAGATAATGCAGCTCTGTTAACTAAATCCATCTCATCGGTAATACGCATGCAAGCCTGAGACGTGTCAAGTTGCTGGTAGCCAAATCCAAGTTGAACCGAGCCAGCGGGTTGTAGTGATCCAGCAGGAAGGATTGTCAGCAAATTAGTGTTTGCACAAGATGAAATCTGTTGAGCGCTGAACGTTCTTGGAGCCTCAACATGGCCATTTCTGAGTGGAGCGTAAGGATCCTGGTCTGAGTCAAGTAACAGCTTTAACTTAAACTTTAAGTTGTCAGAGCTCGTCCAAGTTGGCAGCCACGTGAATCAGAAGGCTACGCAGCGTGACGTACATGTGCCACGTGCCGAATTACATAACACAGACGTCAAACAGTACTATTTTCCTTTCTTTTCCTTCAGGCTTATGTGTATAATGACTTGGCTCATTTCTCGATACGCACGTTCTACCACAATAAATATGGGCCAAAGCCCATAATGACGATGACCAACTTCGTTTACCGCAGTGATCGGCCTACTGTATATTCCAGATTCATCTTCCTGCTAACATCGTCACTTGTCTATAATCCCCAACCTGTATACTGCCCCACCCACCCACAGACCTATGCGGGTTGGCTGGTGCTTTCCAAGTGGTAGTGTCGAATATGATTCGATCACTGGGAAGCTCCAACCCATCGAGCCTGTGCAACGTCTCCTTGACTTGCCTCCATTGACACGAGTCAAAACTTTCATGCTTGAGTTCCCATCCCAACTCTATATTTCTGCTGTTCCATCTTAATTATTATCCTGCAGTATGGAGATCCCGTACTCATCCCAGGCATTACTTGCCCGAAGTACCTATACGAGCCTCGAGGGCCAACCTCAGGTATTATTGAGGAGCTTACTTATCACCTTCGGCCTGCTGTATTCCACAATAATCTGTATACATGCTTTGCTCTGTCCTATATGGATTATCATGTTAACCAGCGCCTTGGTACCTTCAATTGAATTGTCGAAAAGAAACTCCCGCGCCTCATTTTATCCGCCGTGTCTGGATCTGAATTATTGAGTTCGACTGACTTTTTGCGATGTGGATGCAACTCAGCCAGTACGCAGGGACCCAAATGATAAGGTACCGTTCCTGTCGAACAGTTCAAAAGTCATTTTCAATTGAGCTGCGAGCAGCACTGCCAGCACGTAGGGCCTGTCTGGTAAGGCGACGTCCCTGACTGGCACGAAGGCGGTTGAGTGGAGCACTCGTCTACGCAGCGTAGAGTTGGTTGAGCAGAAGGTGCTGTCACCACCTTACTGGCACTACTAACTGTGACACTGGAAGCTGCAAGGAGTACGAGGTAAGCGATCTGAACGAGCTTCATGGTATCTAATATAACTATGCTTCAGTCTGCGATGCGACCGACGAATCTAGGGAAACCACACACCGACAGAAATTTTGATTGTGCGTTGTGCGCGGCGTTGCTGTGACAAAATCTCAGAAGAGCTATTATATGTTGCTCAACGAAATATGCATTAATGTGGCGTAGAATGCTACTCACTGCAACAGGAGGTGTTCGTCTGAGGCCTTTTAAACTCAACCGCGTTGATTTTATACTTGTTCTCGTTAGTGCTGGGACTATACTCGGAGAAAGTTTTATACCCAGCTGATGCACACTCCGATAATGAAATCCATCTCCCTGATAATTCGCACGCAGTGGCGCAAGACACCAAGTTGGTAAAAGTGAAATTCAAGCGGTTACTGTACAGTATGTTGCAGTGACCACGGGAAGGACCATTGGTGGTAAACTGACGAGTTTTTGCAAAAGGTCCAATATTGGTCACCACTAAGCGTTCTTGGAGCCTTGACATCGTCGTTTCTGAGCGGTGCACAGGTATCTACAGGGATGTGGTCGAGTAACACCTTTATTTGGCCGCGCGGGCCAGAAGTAAATCCTAATATTTTAGCACGGCGTGATGCACATGGGACGTGCCATTATTGACACGGAAAACTTTGACCAAGTACTGACTCGTCACGACTGTGTCAATTATACAGCGAGTCGTGTTTCTGCTTCCCCATTAGTGCAGTGTGGTTGATCCCCGCACAACATTTAAGTACTTTGATGCGCTAGGCAACGTGCTTACTCCACAAATTTCCATCAGCAATTTGCTGCCATGGCAGATGTTATCTGCTCTGTTATAAGTTCTGCGCAGAATAGTGTTAGGACATAAACGCACCCCGTCTTCCTACCAATTCATTTTTGAGATTCCATATCATATCTCAACAATAATGCATATCTCCTTCCGAGTTGTCCTCGCCGTTGTTGCTGCTTTGACAGTGTCTATGACTGTCAGTGCTGACAGTGAATGCCATTCAATCGGCGGCGATTGCAACACACAGGCAGATTGCTGTCATCCCTATCAATGCGTGCCAGTAGTGGACCTGAAGTTTGATGAGGTGAGGATGAGTAGTTCCATCCAAAATTTGTTGACTCACCGGCGTGGTAGCCTTACTACGTACTTATGTGTGAAAGCGTTGAATGAGCTACAGTGAGTCATTTTTCTGTTTTCCCATTGGTACCGTGTGATTAATGGCACCAACGTGTAAGTAGTTCGTTGCGGAAATGCTTGTTTCTGAACAAATGTTACTGCTGCTGGAGAAATGGAGATTTTAAGATAGATAAACTTTGAATGTAATACTTGTGACTGATTTTTTTACGTCGCATTGTTTTCTCCTCATTGTGAACCTAAGGAATCTGTGCGGAGGTCAAGCACGGCTTTCTGGAGCGTCAGTCCTTGACATCTGTTGAATGTCACGACGTCACGTAAGCCGGTCGGAGGGAAAACTATTTGCGAAACAGCCCAGCTAAAACGCATTAGGCTGAAAGAAAAGGCTATACGAGCAGGCAAGGGCCCGACGTTGGATCGGACTGTTACAACGGCATTGAGTAGAGCAGTGTGGGTGAATGGTTGGTCACATACATCAGCGAGGCGAGAATTTTTAGCTGCACTTGTCTGAAAGAGAATGTTAGCGCACGGACAGATAAATATATGCACGTGGATGTATACATTAGGCTGCACTTCTTGTAATCTACATATATACTGTCTGCGATACTGAAACATAAGCTTTCAGTATCACTGGCTTTTGGTGTAACGGTTGAGCGGACGACGGTCTTGGCCAGTGTCGCAACCACACTAAGAAAACTACACACTGATAGAAAGTTTGAGTGTGCGTTGTGCACGGTGTTACTATGATAAAATATTAGAAGAGCTATTATATGTTGCACAATGAAATACGCATTATAGTATGGCGTAAGAGTGCTACTCACTGCAACAGGAGATATTCGTCTCTGGGGCGTTTAAACTCAATCGTGTTGATTTTATACTTGGTTTCGTTAGTGCTGAGAGTATATTCGGAGAAGGTTTTATACCAAGCTGATGCACTGCGATAATGAAATCCATCTCCTTGGTAATTCGCACGCAGTGACGCAAGACGCACCAAGTCAAATTCAAGTCAAATTAAGCCAGCGGGTTACAGTATGTTGCAGCGACCACGGAAAGGGTAAATTGACGAATATTTGCGTAAGATCCAATATTGGTTACCACTGAGCGTTCTTGGAGCCTTGACATCGTCGTTTCTGCCAAGTGGAGTGCAGGGATCTGCAGGGATGTGGTCGACCAACACCTTTATTTGGCTGTGAGAGCCACGCGGGTCAGAAGTAAATCCTAATATTTTTGGCACGACGTGATGCACCAATATTGACGCGGAGAATATTGACCGAGCACTGTCTCGTCACGACCGTGTCAATTTGGCTCGACAGTATTGTTTTGCTTTGGACTTACGTATCATGACCTTGACTCAATGCACGGCTATCGGCCATCTGTGAGCGGAGCGTAGGGATGGTGTTCAAACAACGCCTTGAACCTGTCAGAGCTTGTCAGGGACGCAGGTCAGAAGAGCGTCAACGTTGCATCTCTGTTTGTGCTTCACTAAGGAGTGTTGCCTGTGCTAAGTACTCGATCATTTTGGAAAATGGTATTACACACATTTTACTTGTATTGAGCAAAAATGACCGAGGTTCGACTTATTGCGCTCTAGCTACTACAGCACATCCAGCAGGTAGAGCTCAAAGAGTGAGGCGTCGTCCTTGGGTCGCAGTTCGAAGGCGGTTGAGAGAAGCACAGGCCTGGACACTGTAAGGTTGCTTGAGCACGAGCTGCTGCCTCCACCACAGTGGGACTGGCAGTGACACTGGAAGCCGCAAGGATTGTGAGGTAAACGATTTGAACGAGCCTCATGGTGTCTGGTATAACTATGCATCAGACTGTGATGCACCCGAGCTAGGAAAACCACACACGACAAAAGTCTGATTGTGCAATGTGCGTGAAGTCGCTATGAAAAAGTTTTAGAAGTGTTGTTATATGTCGTTCTGTGAAATGCGCATAGTGTGGCGCTAGAGGGTTACTCACTGCAACAGGAGGCGTTAGTCTGAGGCCTTTTCAACCATTGTTGGAACGATATGTCAGCTAGCATCAAGGAGATCGGTACTTGTTCTCGTTAGTGGTGAGACTATATTCGGAGAAAGTTTGATACCGAGAAGACATGCAGTTGTCACAATGAAATCTATCTCCTTGGCAAGGCGCACCAAGCTGGTGATAGTCAAATCCAAGTCAAATTAAGCCACTGGCAGTGGGTCGTAGTAATCACAGGAAGGATGATTGATGTAGAAAATTTGCACGATCCAATATTGGCCACTGCTGAGAGTTCTTGGAGCATGGCTGTTTTTGAGCGGAGCGCAGGGATAGTGGTCACACCTGAGACGAAGCCAACAAAGTGCTATTGGCAGATGCAATCCATATCCTGAGAAAAATTGTACCTCTGTTGAATCATTTCTTTATTGTGCAGATAGCGGACAATTTTATAATAAAACCATGAGCGTGCATAAGGATCAATTGTATGAACTAAATTCAAACTATGTTAGCTAGGCATAAGGAAAATTGGTCCAAGAATCTGGATATGTCGCAGATTGACTTAATTTGCCAAATGTGTAGACGGCTGTGAAATTGCCTCAGATGTTGCAACTGGTTGTGCATATTACATGTGATATATTTGAGGGAAGATTCAGGAACGAATCACATATCAGGCGTAAAATCTGCCTCAGTAATTCACCCGAAATCAAAGTTATAATTGTATCATTATATACTAAGACAACAAATTCAAAACCAATTTGGAAATATGTCACAAGATATGTACTAGTGGGGCGCTGAGTTCCCCGCCTATCGCCCCACTAGTACCAACAACATTACCATATTACCAAATTGCAAAAAAAATGTTGAGAAAAAAGACCGACACCAACAAGTAGTAGTGTTGCGGCTCGGCTATGGCCAGTCCGGGCTCGGCTCTTACCAATTTCACAGCAGTTCGGCGATTCCAATGAACCAAGTTACTCATGTACAACTCGGTCTGGTCCACAAGGCACCTGAACCGGCGCAAATTGCAACAAGCCAAGAATGTGGGAAGAACGGCTTGAGCTGGCCTCAAGCCAGCTGGAGGGGGTTGCGTTTGTTGCGTCACTTGTGTCGTGAACTCATTCTCCAACATATCCCCACTATTTGGTTGGATCCACTGTAAGTTACCATGCATAAGGTCCCGGTTCGAGTGGATGGGAGATTTAGGCTGGGAGATGTCTTAGGATCTGGCTTGTATGGCATGTAGTCAAATTTATTGTTCTGGTTCAGATTCACTTATGTTGTACAACTTAGCTGTCGTATATTCTGCGCGGAATATCATCAATGATGATCACGTTGCCCTCAAACTCGAAACCGTTGTCAACCACTCATCTTCTGTCGAGCGTGAATACTATATTTTGAAACAACTTGAAGGCGGAGTTGGCATCCCACGCACCTTCTGGTTTGGTAGAGAGTCAATGCATCATGTTCTGGTCCTTGAACTCCTTGGACCGTCACTCCACCAACTCTTCCTTGCGAACAATTGAAGATTCAGCCTTCTCAATGTTGTCAATCTTGGAGTCCAGTTGGTCAGTCATTTGGTCCGAGGTCTTTGCAGATAGGTTGACTGACTTTCCCAGCTCTCGCGTCTTGAGTATGTTCACTCACACAATTATGTTCATGGCGACATTAAACCGCAGAACATCTTGGTGGGTCTCGGAAATTCGAGGCACACCGCCTATATCATTGATTTTGGAATCACGAAGACATACTGGAACACTAAGACCAGTGACCATGTACCATTTCGCCATGGTCGAAGTCTCTCTGGTACTCCCGCATTCGCCTCAATCAACAATCACCTAGGAGTTGAGCCAGGTCGCCATGACAATCTTGAGTCGCTCACTTACATGCTAATCTATTTTTTGCGTGGCTCCCTTCCATGGTTAGCCAGTGATGATGAGAAATTATCCAGCTCTACCATACTCGAGCACAAAGCACACGCTACCATTGCAGAAATATGCCATGACATCCCCGTCGAATTCGCAAACATTCTTATTTACACCTGCTCTCTCGCATTCACTGAAGATTCTGATTACGATCATCTTCGTTCACTACTACACAGTGAAGGTGAGGAATCTTGACTATAGGTGAAATGCTAAAGCTAATGGGGGTTCTACAGTAAGACCAGGATACGAGAATACGACTCGACCCAAAGGACAGCTACTGAGAGAAGTTCCTCTTTAATGTAATGGAGGGAGTCTTCGTCAACTAGACAGGTGGTAACAGGCGCGCGAAGGCGCGAGAAGATAACGTGCGCGTAGGTGCGAGTAAGCGATGCGAAGGCACGCAAAGGGCGCGCGCGAGCAAAAGATGCGAGGGACGCGCGCGTATGCGGAAGCGTGCTTTTGAGCGATGGGGGAGAGTGTTCAAGTATAGCAGATGTGCGAGCGATGGTAGAATAGTGAAGTATAATCGGATTTCAAGTACTAAGGTGCACTATACAATTTGCAGTATACTCAGATTGTTACAACCACTATTTCTTATCGTTGTATACTTTCACAACTTCACACAATATGCCTTCCCTTTTTGGTCTTGTACTTATTATCTCACGATGACTTGGTCTGTGCGCACATATGGATCTATTTAAGCACATGTATTACGCTTGTATTCCTTACTTGAATCTTACTAGGTTTTACCTGGAATATCCTTCGCTTAAGACCTCCAATCTTAAGTTGTCCCGAACCTTGATTCTTAGTTGAAGCACTCCTTTAACTAAGTCCACCGAACTCTCTCTTGTCTGAGAGACTGAGAATCTCAACGACCGAAAACTCTGTTGAGTTGTCGTTGTTAGAACTATCCTAGTTCGTAACAAAAGATTCAAGTCGAAAGACACCACACATCTGTGTGTGTCCGATACCACCAGAACAAAGAAAAGAACCGCTGAGCAAGACAGCCAGCACGAACAGCAGACCTGACATCACTCACCCCGAAACTACAGGCCCTGAACCTTGGTACTCCAGTACCGTCGCTCAATATGTCAACATCAACCACCGGCGGCAAAGAATTCGAATATAAAATAAACCACCCTCCCATATTCAATGGAGATAGGGACCTGTCTAGATCATTCCTCCTATCCTGTAACGCCTACATGGATATCAACGACAAACTCTACAAAGAAGACAAACATCGCATCATCTTCATCACATCGTTTATGAACGAAGGAAACGCCAGATTATGGAAAGAAGAATTTCTAGAAGATGCTCAACATGTTGACACTTCCGGACAGAAAAAAGGATATGGCAACATGAAAGATTTCCTAGAAGCTTTTAACAAAGCATTCTCCGCAATCGATCCTTCCGGAACAGCAATGACCAAGCTAGGAGCTCTCAAACAAACCGGAGATCTCCAGACTTATATCGCCGACTATCAAAGGCTGATCGCTCAAGCAAAAGTCAAGGAAGAAACGGCCAAAATCTTTCACTTCCAGCAAGGACTCAATATAGGAATCCTTATCAAAATGTTTAATGCAGGAAACGTCCCAAAGAACTTTGACGATTACATCGCCGCAGTAGTCGACATCGACAATTGCCACACGCAATTACAGTCCATTAGGTCCCGCTTCCCTGTCCAACAGAAGAAGAAAAGATTTGGGGACCAAAGATTTGTACCCACGAGGGACCGCGATGCTATGGTAATTGATCGACTCACGGATGAAAGTCGCCAAGAACACATGCGTGTTGGAAAATGCTTCACATGCCACCAGATCGGACACCGTGCTCGGGAATGCCCGCAGAAGAAGAAGGGACCTCCTTTTGTCCGCAAAGTAGAAGAAGATGAGGAAGAAACTAGGCGCATTCAAGAGGATTTTTGAAACGGAGAAACATATCGACGGTGGAATCTCCAATAGAACCTGTACGTTTGATACGAGTTGTGAATGATAAAAAGGAATTTCGCATTCCCATTACTCTCATATCTCGGAAACAGGAAAATGTCGAAACAAACGCAGTAATCGATTCAGGCGCTTCTGGAACCTATATCTCCGAAAGCTTTGTAAAAAAGCTCGGAATAAAAACCCGAAAATTAAAAAAACCATTCAATATCCGGACCGCAGACGGAAGCTATTTCAGCAGTGGACCCGTAGACCGGTACTGCACCCTTATCGTCAAGATTGATGAAAGAACCATGATAGGAAAATTCAACATTACCAATTTAGGAAAACGTGACCAGATCCTCTTGGGGATCCCGTGGCTCCAAAAGATGAATCCTTCTATCAACTGGGCGGAACGAACTCTCTCACTCCCTTGTACCCCAAAGTCCATCGAAATCTCGGAAAGAATTCGAAAACTTAGCACCCCTCCAGAACAAAGAAAATGGACGAACTCCAAACTAAAGAAACAACCATCCAAGTTCTCGGCCTCGATCGAGGAAATCCCCGAGGAAGTACCACTGTTACTACCAACGGAGGATGATGATCCTTTTGATATGTTACAGTAACATGGCACGAGTCCCCCGCCAGCAGACAGCCCTCTGCCACCCACACGGCTATAGACGATAGACGACACCGGAGTCTCACCAGCTCCATAGATGATGATAGATGAGAGACGATAAGCGGCAACTGCCGGCTTAGATAAGCGGTCTGGACCGCACGTGACATGGACATGACGACATAGGTCTAGAAGACCTATTTATGTTATCAAGATAGAAGGCAAGCCTCGTGTTGCCTCATGTACTGATAGAAGGATACCACGTGGATCCTATCTCTGATAGAAGCGTACCGCATGGACGCTATCTACGATAGAAGCCCGCCTCATGGACGCTATCTCTGACTCATGTAGATAAGCAGATTAGAACCCAGCTTCGAGCTGAGCTTAGATACGATAGAGTAGCCTTATATAAGGTCGAAGATTAAAGTAGATGTTCCTTACTTTAATCTTACTAGGTTTTCCCTTGAACTCCTTGTCCCGCTAAAGCTACCTGCTCGACATCGACTCGTACCTTCAGTGACGCCTCTCACTGTCTGTAAACTCTGCTATCATCTCAGCGTAACCCCTCGTTAACCACCACGAGCTACGTTCGAGTACGCAACCTTTGCTTGTCTGTAAAGGCCGACGACTCTCAGCACTCGGTACCACTGTCGTGGTTGTCGCTGTTTAGATCATCCTAGTCGCACACGACCGTTTGTCGTAACAAAAGATTAAAGTCTTTCTTCGCACGTCACCCATCTGTGACGCCTGATCCCAGATCGGACCTATCTTCAAAGCTACCGAAGATTTGTAGAAGAAATATCCCCGAAACGTCCCGGCCTGACCAGCCGCAAGAAAAGAACCGAGTCACAGTAGAAGACTTCCTGCTCACGGAACACTACGAAGATTGAAGACAACCATCTCCGACACGGTAACTTCTAAGAAGAAGGTCGTATAGACCTGCGGTACACTACCCGCGAAGACACCCAAGAAGAAGGTCGTATAATAGACCTGCGGTACACTACCCGCGAAGACACCGGCTAAAATTAGCTTGAAGAAATTCCTGGACCTCACGACGGTCCTCGGCGGAAAGAAGAAATTCCTGAACCTTATCAGGTTCTCGGAGGAAGATTGACGAAGAAGAAACTCCTGTACCTTATTAGGTCCTCGGTGGAGCTTATAAAGAAGATAAAGAAGAAATTCCTGAACCTTACGACGGTTCTCGGCGGAACTCAATAAAGAAGAAATGAAATTCCTGAACCTTATCAGGTTCTCGGAGGAAGATTGACGAAGAAGAAATTCCTGAACCTTATTAGGTCCTCGGTGGAGCATATAAAGAAGATTGAACCGGCTTTTCTAGCCGATGGAAGAAGAAGACTCCTGTACCTTATCAAGGTCCTCGGTGGAGCATATAAAAAGAAAGAAAAGAAGGGCGCACAGAAAAGGAAAAGGTCCGTTTCCCCGACCACTCCCCGCGCCTTCTCTGGTGGCCTCGCTTCCATGAGCTTGGCACCCACGACGAAGATCGTACCGATTCAAGAGGAACCGCACGGAAACCCGCCATCCGTGAAACTCCCTATCTACTAAAATCGTGAAGAAAGATTCCCTGCCTCGTATTGACCTCGCGGCAAAACGATTTGAGCAGAAGAAACCGGCCACTGATCCGGAGACAACTCAGAAGAAGGTCGTAAGACCTGCGGTAATCACGGACTATATCATCCCTGACGCACCCGCGAAGAAGATCGTACCGGCTGTTCAGCCGATGAAAGAAGAGACTCCTGAACCTTATAAGTTCTCGGCGGAGCCTGCATCAGTCCTCGGAAAAGGACGTGCAGTTATGACAGAAGAACCGCCTCACTCGAAGGCACCCAGACTGGCCTCTGAACCAGAAACAACTCAGACCCCCAGATTCGTATTTTCCGGAGAACCGATCTCCGTTCTCGGAAAAGGAAGAGCCGTGTCGACGGCAGAACCACCTGAAGCCAAGAAACTCAGGTTTTACGAAAGCCCGGCTGATGACACCGACACAGCCGATGAAAACCCCATCCCGAATTCCCTGAACCTCTCCATGCCTTCTGCGGAGATCCCCGCTGATAACATCGATGCAATGATGCAACACCGGGAACCCGCACCTGAACCATCTTCCGACTCAGACTTCGACATGTTCTTAGAACGTGTTCATCTTATCAACGAGGCCCACCGCCTGAAGGATATGAGTGAAAATGACCCTGACGAGTTTGCTCGTCTTGTAAAGAAGGAAGAAGAAGAAGTCGGACTGCACTTTGTCCGCTTCACCGATATGGAATCTGAAGATGAACGAAGCGAAGACGCAATAACTCTCGCTTCCGAACCTCGGGCGCTCTACGCGCCACACCCTGCTTCCAATCCCATTGAAAATATATGGTTGGATTTAGAAGAACCATCGACGCACAACTGGCGCATGGTTGATGAAGAAGGAAATGAAATCGAATACGAAGGCCCTGACGACGGCCTTGATTTTTAGACTGAAGATTAGTCATGGTAGACTAACGGCTTATTAAGGGGGTAAAATCCCTGATTTATTCTCGTTTCACGCACGACACCCCCCCCCACCACGAATACCATTCCCCGACTACTTCTCTAATGATTTCTGATAACGACTTCGAACGGCCCGGCATGGCCTTAAACTGCACGATGCT